CCGTTTTATGATTGTCTGCTGAGATAGGACCATTCTTCTAGATCTAAAAGTATGATCCAATTAGCGCGAAGGAAACTTCCAACAGTTGCAAAACAAACGGTCTGCTGAACGCAGCCAATGAATAAAGTTATGGCTGTTTTATATTTATATTTGCTACCAAGAATTGGAAGATATGCGAAATTCACGTCTAATGTGGGTAAGAGACATTTTTTCTGAACGGAGAAGATTTTTGCAAGGAGCCAGTGACAATTTAATTATCGAGATGCAGTTGTCAGACGATCTGAAATTTTTCAATTATCTTAGAATGTCTCCATCGATGTTCAACAAATTATTGGAAATAGTTGGCCCTTTCATTGAAAAGCAGAAGGTGATTCGGAATCCAATACCAGCTCGAACGAGGTTACAGGTGACTCTACGTTGGTTAGCTTGTGGCGATAGTATGACATCACTGTCATATTCCTATCGCATTGCCCAATGTACAATTTCCAAGATAATTCCGGAAACATGTGAAGCAATATGGGATCTTTTAAAAGAAAAGGTACTTCTTGTTCCTACTGAAGAAAATTGGCACAGAGTTGCAGACGATTTCGAAATGAGATGTCAATTTCCACTGTATAGGCTCTATCGATGGAAAACACGTTGTCATTCAGGTATATATTATACGTGTATATATGAAGCATTCATGCATATTTGTAAAATGAGCAATCTGATAATGTAAACAATATTTGACTATTAATTGCAGGCACCACATCACAGTGGCTCAACATATTACAACTACAAAGGAAGCCACAGTATTAATCTACTAGCAATAAGCGACGCTATGAATCGTTTCCTCATTGTAGACATCGGAGCTCAAGGAAGACAAAGCGATGGAGGTGTCTTTGAAAATAGTGGATTACCTCATTTATTTGCATCGAATGTACTGCGCATCCCTCGACCTCTGTGCATCGGTTCTACTGACACGGAGTTTCCATTCGTATTAATAGGAGACGAAGCTTTTCCCTTGAGTACATGATGAGACCATACCCTCGAAGTCACAAACTAAATACGAGCAAAAAAATTTTCAATTACCGTCTCAGTAGAGCTAGAAGAACAGTGGAATGCGCTTTTGGAATTCTAGTTGCGCGATGGAGACTTTACCGTCGACCTATCATTGCGTCCATTTCCATCGTCGTCAAAGCTGTACAGGCAACAATTGTTTTGCATAATTTCATCATCAATGAAGAACTTCACTTGTCGGAACAAGAAAGAAAATACGGTAGAATTGATACTCACAATGCGCTTAATACCAGTGGTGGACTTACAGCCGTAAATGACAACAATAAATCACGAAACTTGGCAGCAATCAAAATTCGAAATGATTTTGCCCATTATTTCGAGTACATCTCTCCACTGTCTTGGCAGTGGGATAAAGTTTTGTCAAACGATTTTTGATATAATTTTAAAATATAAATAAATCGGAAGTATAGAGCCAATTTACTTAAAACACAATGTGATTAATTTATTATTCATTATTCAATATATTCTATAATAAAATTCAAATGTAATAAGTTTAGTATAACAAAAATGTATAATCGCATAAATAAATCGATTTTTATATTTTTATGCATATGTATTTTAATTATAAAAATAGTCTACAGAATTATAAAAATAGTCTACAGAAATATAATTTATAAAAATATAATTGAAATATTATTTCTAAAAAAGTAAATAAAATGAGGTAAATTTTATTTTATTTTTGTGTATTCTGCATTTCTGCCTCAACTGCCTCCTCTGTATTAATTGCCATATCCATAATGTTTCTTTGAAGATTTCTGCGAGTAGGATATGGTAGACGACGCAAAATATCGGCCAACTGCTCCACAAAGTTGTCCACCACATCTCGTTCTTGGCGAGGTGTTGATTTCAGCATTTCTAGAAATGCATCTTGCAACTGAACCTGCTTCTCTGTTTTTGTAATTGATTTATATTTCATTAATATTATGATCGCAAGTGTACAAAAGTATACTCTTTCAAATTTGCACAAGAGAATATTTGTTTTGATAAGAATAAATTCATAGGTTAGGTTTTACTTGATTTATTACATTTATTTATTAAATTATAGTCAAAGTTTCATTTCTTAATTATTTTAATGTTATAAAAATAAATTTATATATCAGCGCAGAATATGCTATGGAAATGATTAATCACATTCCCAAGCTCCTATATCAAATTCAATACTTGAAAAAAGTGACTTGTCTATAACTGCAATAATTTCGACATATATTTATAATTTTAGATCTTTGTATATTTACTCGTATCAAGTGCTCGGTGTAAATTAGGTCAGTGTTTGTAACTTCGTATGCTTCATTAATACCACGAAGCCAAACTAATTGCAAAGTTATACATTATTTGGGCGATAACTTTCTATCAATGACCTGACATAACGTTTTCTACGAATCTGTTGTCGTTGTTTTATTAACATTTCAGGTAATCGATAAAAAGTTTACGGCCAAATAATGAATAACTTTGCAATTACATTAACTTCATAACGTAATAAAACACATGGAGTTTGAAAAATTATAAAAATTGTAATATACAAAAGCTCTATTTACTTCGCTTTTTGCTATTTAGTCTTGATTTACTCGAAGCCGTACACTCTGGATGATCTGTATCCGAAGTTCCCTCCGTTCTACTCGTACTACCATCGTCGTCCTCGATGGTGTTCATGCTAACATCAACCATATCAGTTTCGGTATAAACACCACTGCTGCTGCTTTCTGTCGAATTGCCCGCAAGCTGTTGCACAAAGTTGACGGTCCTGCAATTTAAATTTTCGTATTATTGCATTAATACACAAATTACATAACATTAAGACTTACGGCATTGTGCTTAATGTGTCGTCAAGAAATCTCATTTTTTCGTAATGAGCAAAAGAGCTCTTAAGAGGATGTCCTGGACAGATTGTGCCCCGGATCCACTTCGCACATATCCCTGCATACGCTTATGGGCCTTCATATAGGAATCGCGCAATTGTTTCCACTTTTGTTTCGCCAACTTTACAGTTAATGCTCCTACAATTTCAATATAATTCTTTGGTATAAATATTCTACAAATAATACATTAATAATACCAATAAAATTATTTTACCTCCAAGCGTATTAACAATTTCTTCCCACAGTCTGTCTCGTTTTAAATTTGTCCTTTCTTTGACAGGTAACCTGCTGTCCCACAAACTCTTACGATCGCGAACTAGATCGATAAGAAGTTAGTCGATCGTAGTTTGCGTCGGACTACTTGTTCGAAGCATTGCTCCTGCTATATCCTCACAGATACCATCTGCATTCTCACGGGCATCTTCTACCTGCTCCGTATTAATGTTATATCTCTGCACTGTGAAATAATTATGAAATCAATTTTATGCAATTACCTTGATAATTATTAATATATTTAAATAGAGGTAAAACAGGAATAATTGATATACTTTATACTGGAATTCAAAGTCGAAACCTTTTTACAACTTTAAACGCAATAATACACAATAAAAACGTTTTGTACTTACCCATTGTAACGACGGACTTTTCATTGACATTGATAGCATGCACTTTCTCGTCAAAACTGCTGAAACAGTGATGTTTGAGAACATTTCCACATGAACCACGAAGAATGAAGCCGCAATAGCCACATTTCAATGAAGACTAAAACAATACTTAAAAAGTAGCATTTTTATTAATTGGTGTACAATGTTTATTAAGACTTATCTCAAAAACCTATCAGTCTTACATATTGTGATAATATAATACTTACGGTACTACTCATCATTTTCTTCTGTCACAAAGAACTATATACTCGAAACTGTTTAATCGAAAAGATACTAAAGCTGTGCTTGGTAATTATATAGTTCAGCTACCTTAGATTCCGTTTCGATAAAATTAAGCTTAATCGGCACGTCATTGCACAAAACGAAAAAATCTGGCCGAAGTATCGAGAATATGAAGATATCTTAACCTCTAAAGTCTCGTAACACTTCGATCGTAACTTGATTCTAATGATCGTAATTCTCGAGGCAGAGCGACGTTCAGTCAGATTCTATCATTTCGTGCAATGACGATTAAGCCTAATTTTATCGAAATTGGATTTAAAGTAGCTCAACTATATAATTACCATGCGCTTTATTGGCCACTTGGAAGAAATATGCGTGAACTTTTCAGGTTAATTACCTTACAGTTAGGGTGAAGTCCCATCAGGCATGTTTGCCGCGTATCGCGTAAGCGCATAACCAATCAATAATCAGTAAAACGCGAAACTATAACAGCAGATCGCTTCTGATTGGTTACGCGGTTATGCGATACGCGATAAATACACCTCATGGGACTCCA